TAATAAATTGATTGCTTTTGCTGGTGGGTAAGTTCCTTCAATTATTTTTATAACTGCCGACTAGGGCTGGGTAAAAAAATCGATTTAATCGATTTTGAATCGATTCCTTTACATTTTTGCAAAATCGATGTCTAGGGAATGAGATTGATTCATTTTATAGTGAAAACATGGAAAAGATGCACTCAAGATTACTTCAAGCCAGACAGCTGCAAATATAGCTAATAGGTTGACTGAAGACATTAACGAATGGGGGCTGACCAGCGTACACCCTGTAGTTGTTACAGACAACGCTGAAAATATGGTTTGTGCATTGAAGATAATGCAGCTCATGCATGACTGCTGTGTCATGTCTGCTTGCTCGAGTGAGGCTTCACTTTTTCACTTTTCACAAACAAGTTTGCACCGTTGAGACAGTTTTGTTCACACCTCATGTTTAAACTTTCTGATTTACAAGTTTTCACTTTGCGTTAATGTGACAGGAAAAAATTAAATACATGAGTATTTTGAAACACAGTTGAACCAGGACTTTGGCGAAAATACCCAGCCCTATGCCGACAACGCATTTCCTTTAGGGGACATTAAAGTAAGTCTTATCTTTTCATATTAATTTCATCTTATCTTTTTATACATTTTAATAATAGTTTTAGCATATTTGTGATCAATCTGGTGTTTTTAAGCGTAAATAGAAAAAACTCTCATATGTTTTATTCTGCTTTAGTCAGTCCAAGATGAAAAACAATTTAACCTATTAGTGTGGTATTACTATCTTTTCTAAAATAGAATTCCAGGAAGTTATAGTACATTTCTCCTTTAGTTTACTATTGCTGACACAGAGGTGCATTACCCATCAGACAACCAGAAAAAGATAAAAACCAAATTTGTCAGGGGTCTTCAATAATAAACATTTTTATGCAATATGTGAAGGTAGTTTAAATGTTAGATAGCAAAATTGTATTGAATGAATATAGCATGTCTGTGATTTAAGTTGTCTTAACAGAGGTATGCTTAAATCTTGGCTCCATCCCATCTCTGTTTGCTTTAAAATTAATCTCTGCTTAACACAGAAGCTCCTACGAGAATCATCTTAAAGATAAATTAAGCTGTCCTTTATAGACGACTGACATGGGGCATCATAACAGGAAGTGGAGAGCTTTATCTTTAAATAGCGTTTGCTTGCTTCTCAAGGATCTACCCACACAGCGTGGTGGTATAAGCTTCAAAGACCTGAACAGAGAAGCAGCTCACAGCTTAAGATTTCATTTCAAACTTTCTCAAAAGGATTTGTTGAGAGGGTAAGGAAGATGAGACTTACGGCATGAGGCTGAGACTGGGGTCTACTCGTAGGGCCTCTCTCTCACGCACATTGTTGGAGTTTATCAGCCCCTCTTCTGCTGAGCTGTTGTGTCTGGCGATGTAAAAGCCCTTTTTCTAAAAGAGGAGCAATGTTTGCCTTTCAAATTTAACAGCAAACAACAAAGCTTTTACAACTTTTGCAGAATTTTTGATGAGACAGTACCGTGCTTGTATCGACTATAGTGAGAATATCTCCCTTGTGGTAAACCAGCTCTCCAGGTTTAGCTTTCCTGCTGTCACACTTGGCTACACACTGGGTACCAGGAGCCCAGCTCATCTGTAAAATAACAACGATACCAGCATCAGTTCAAGCATCCTCCTGCAGGCTTCCTACCTGCAGCCTACTGGGCATGTTAAACAAATTATTATATGCCCCAAAAAGAACAAAGCAAGGGAACAAACTCAGCACATGCTGCATTCAGAAGATGTGTACATCTACTATTCTCAGAAAGTTAAAATATACATTGACCTGAAACAATACTTGGTTAAACATAAAATCTACCATCTTAATAATCAGGTTTTGGTTAGATAAGCTTCTATTTTCTTTCTTGCATCTGTAAACATGATATCATTGCTTTGTAATCTTTTAATGTTCTCCAAGACATTAAAAACAAATTGAGGCACATCTGTGGAGGTTTCTATGGCCCCCATTCAAACTGCTAAATTTTTTGTTATTATGGGGAAAATAAATCCATCAAGATATCAGAAAGAATAGTATGTCTCCACTGGTAACCATTTCCTTCAGTGGGTAGGCCTACAATGCACGGATCACTAAAAGTTCGTCATTTTCTATCACCATATGGCCTAGTGATAAGACAGCTATTAAAGCATTTTAGTATGAAAAGTAGGCCTACTTATCGATGGAACAAAAGCGTTCTTCAGTCAAAAGAGGGCGAAACTTTCGAGCTTGAAACACCAAACCTGTTGTCAGCATGTTTGGCTCCGACGGGACTTGTGGACTTAAGAAACTAGGTCACTGTTTTCACATGTTCACAAAACAAAACCCATAAGTCAGCAACTTCTTCCATATGCTGATTCTCTAAATGTTTTACAAATAGTGAAGTTAAGCTAAACAAATAAAAGTGAATCAAAGCTTCTTTTTTGTACTGAGTGGCAGCTAAACAGGTTCATATAAGAATACTTGTAAAATACTATTGATTTAAAAGATACTGAGAAACCGCCTCACATCATCCAACTTGTGCAACAAACTGTTTTTACTGGCTTATTAAACAACAAGAGCAACTCGTATAAAGAGAACTTGAGAGTTCGAAAGAAAACAGCTATCCTTTCAACCATGCCATTTGTTTTATTTTATTCATTACTTCATTAGCAGACCTTTGTATAAAATGTCAAAAAAATGCTCCATTAAATGAAATTTTCTGAGACCGCTTTCAAGCACACATTTCCGGCAAAGGAACAACAAAAAGTGAGTGTGGGAGACACAGGAGCGCTTTATGGAGGTGCAAAGTTAGGAAGATTCTCAGGCCTTTGACTGAGGGGGCCCAAAAGTACAAGAAAAGATTTGTCCCTCTATATTTTTCAAATATAAAAAGAAAATCCAGCAGTGAAATAAATTATCTTTGTGTTCTCCCTGATTTTTAATTAGTAAACAGCGAAACAAAGTATGAATATATTGAAAATATGAATAGATTTCTATACTAATAAACTACCATACCATAAATATATTATATTGTATCATAATATTTTGTACCATTCACAGACATCTATAAATCTTGATCGTTCTCATGAGCAGCCTGAAGCAGCCGCACAAAAAATACATTCTTTTTTTCCATTACATGTATGCATGAAGGAAAGACATTTTTTCTCAGGGCCAGCATAAAAATTATCTGTCCTTTAATACGGTCATAGTGAAACCTAATAAGAATATATTTTCACAATCCAAAACCTATCTTCTATTCATGTGTACATAGATACAGCTATGCCTTTCTGTTTTAAATAAGCTGTTACTATTTTGATAGGATATAAATATAAAGTTCATGTATAGTTAACGTTTTCACATTATAATAGCTTTCCTTTGTAAAAATTTTACAGTAAAAATGACATTAAAAATGTAAATGATACCCTTTAGGGCATTCTTATGGCAGTATTAAAGCTTGCATACATTTTTTTGGGGGTGGGCAATATCAATGTCTTTCATGGGGCTCCAATCCTTGGCGGCGCCCCTGGAGAGACATCACAATATTATAGACATATTTCATTTTGTGATAATTGTAGGTTACATAACGAAGTTTAAGCATGAGCAGAGGTGTAGCCAGAATGTTTTTATAAGGGTGGCCAGGCAAAAACCAATGTACACTGAGGGGTGGCTGAAGTGGACAGGCGCCAGAACTTCGGGGTCAATCTACCCTGTTCCAAAAGGAAAATTAATGAGCAAAACATCCATCTTTTTTTTAAATGAAGACAAACTATACTTTCCTACAGCCTTTGCTAACAAATAGACTTATATTTAAACATCTGTGCTTTCTAGATAAAAGATATAGTGAGTAAAATTATTTCACGTTTGAGTTCTGGGGTGAACATCTTTTCCATTGTCATTACTTACCTACTTTTATCAATAGTCATTCTGCATAAAATTGATATTTACAAGTACTAATATCTACATAAATTGATTACTTAATTATTTTTTATTAAAATAATTATTGATCTATGATTTCACTGAAGACTCCTGACTTGCAGGAGATACATAATTCTCTTTACCCAATAAAACACAAAATCTAGTTGTGAAGAGAGCATGAGTTATGCAATTATCATCTTTAATGTTAATATATTGATGTGCATAATTAACCACAGTGCTTTTTGTTGTCAATTGTTAATATATGAAAAATGTAAATGTTTTAAATATTCCACTTGAGAGTATTACGGTTGCCACCATCTTTATTAGAGGGAAAAAATTTGGTAGCGGTGGCCACAGGGGTTGCCAGTGATTGGCTTGGCCTGGCCCCCCCCATCTAACAGCTTGAAAGAATGGTCTATAATAATGGATAATTATGGCTGAATTTGGATTTAATTTTATAATAGCTGAATGTCTTTATTCAGATGTACAAGTTCAATTCAAACTTTTCAGGTAATGTCAGTTCTATATTTGCAAACCTGAATGGAATCTAAAAAGGTGAATAAATTACTGTATTTACCTTGTAGCCAATGATGCTGGATGCTTGGAAAACTTGAATTGAAATCTTGCAGAAAACCGGAGCTTTGCTGAAGGACGGGATGAAATTAAAAAGATGAAATTCTGCTTAAAAGCAGAATGTAATCCGATGAAGGTGACGGACAGAGACTAGGGTCAATATTTGCTGTTGTTAAGGAAACACTTTGACAGAGTCTTTAAGGAGAGGAGACAAGCTGAGAAACACAGTAACCCCACGGAGCCAGGCTTTAAATACACAGCAAAAAAATATTTAACTCCCAATTCGTTTCAGTCAGCTTCCATTGCGCAGACATCCCAGCCGGACCAGTCCACCTCTGTAGTCCTGAGCGTCTTCAACTGCGAGACACTTCCTCAACATCTGGGAAAATGTGCCGCAAATTCAGATAGGCGGCGCAAGAAGTGACGCACTGCAAGTTTGTATCAACACATCCTCCCCCCAGAGTCCAGTGATAATAAGAGGAAGCAAAAAAGTCTGACAGGTATTTATTACACTCTTTATTTTGACGCATCACTACAAGTACATTCAAATAATAGGACTGCGACGTTCACACTTCCCGTTTAAACGATACAAAAACAGACTGCGACGTCCTTAGGAAATAAAATAAGAACCCACATCAGGCTCTTTGTAAATAAAAATCAAACTAAAACATGTCAAGTCACTCTCTCACATTGTTTTTTTTCCCCAAGTTGTGCAACCGTTTCCTGCCCCACATGTTCTCCATTATTAACTGAAACACTAACCACACAAAAGAAGTTGTTTCTTTCTTCTTATCAATCTTTTTTAAAACACATGATGCAGGCACAAGGAAGAAAGTCAAGGGACTTTATTTCATCTGTACGGCAGATTTTTGAATCCTTTTTTTCTAACTAAAGATCCCCTCCTACATAAATCTTCTCTGAAAGAAAAAAAAAAGATTTCAAGGTATATAATACAAAAGGATAAAACTATGGCTGCATAAATTGTTATCTTCTAAGTGCTTTGTTTCCTCTGAAGACCAGTGTGCAAGAAAACGCCTCTTTTTGCAGAGTGCGAGCCCCCTAAAAAAAAAACCTCAAAGGTTAGTTCCTGTCAATAGGTTTCATGACATAGGTTAGCTTTGACCTTATTTGTAAGTTTCTTTGAAGGTTTGAGCTCCATCATAAAGTATCTTTATATAACATTAGCTTTTGATGGGGCAAAAGTGACCTGAATATTTGTACTCCTTTTATTATTGTTTTTTCCCCCCATATATTTAGGCACTGTAAACATCACAGTACTGCATGTGTTTCTTCCTCAAACATTGCAAAGATTCCTATTTTTTATAATGAACATATTTTAGCAGCAAAGTTTATTTAGGATATCAGGAGTCAGATTGAGCTGTCCTGAAAAGCAGCAGTATTAAGCACTAATAATGAAACGCGAGGTGCAGGAGCCATAGTGTACAAAAAAAACTGTAAACCAGTGGTGGTGATGGCTTAAAATAAAAAAGAGGGTTCGGTTAATTAGTGTTAAAGCAAGCTGGAATGATGCCTCCTTCCATCATGATTCAAAATACACTGCATTCAATCTGGTCTTCAGCCCCTAAACTCTCCAAACAAATTATTCCTCTTTATTTAACGGTAGACATGTAACATGTAGAATCATAGGTTATAGTCATAAGTGTACATCTGTGGGTGTAAGTATTTGCTTGAGATAGAAAAGAAAGTGACATTCTACCAGTCTCTAAACTAGCAAAAATCTCTGCTGCGGTGGCAAAGGTCAAGCTTCCTCCTTCTTGTCTTTCTTGCCCTCCCCCTCTCCTTCGCCCGTGTCACTGATGTCCCGTCGCCGTTTGCGGTTGCGTGCGCTGGCCTTAGATGCTGGAAGGGACTCCATGCCCAAAACCTTGTGAATCTGGCGGAAAGCAAGGAGTCGCAAAGCATGCTGGGAAAGAAAAAAACACAACAGGTCAGAAAGTGGACCTTTTTGGTGCTATGTGTTGTGGCATTAAGGAGTTAAATATAGAGCTTCTACAATGTATCCAAACATCTTTTTTTGTCTTATACCCATCCCCACTTTTGGGGGATTTTAAAGTATATAAAACAAGATTTAAAAAGAGCATATGTGTGAAGTAAAAATAGCTGCTAAAGGGTGCAAAATACTTTGGACCAGGGAGAAGCTTTACTAACCTATTAAGACAGATTGATAAAGTGTAGTACTTAGGTTTAATTCCACACATTATTAAACTGCTGCAACTGATGATTATTTTGCTAATCGATTAATTTTTCAATTATCTTTCCGATGAATCAATTAATAATCGGATAGCAAAAGGATCCTTAAAGGAGATTTCTAACAAAATCAAACCAGGTGAGTATAAAACTTTTCCATTAGAGGAGTTCTGAGTACAGCATATTAATGGACACTTTTTTTTTTTTTATCTTAAATTCAGAATATCTATGTATTCTTTTGCAAATTTGGTATAATTACTGCTCTAAGTGGGTTAAAGGCATGTTTTAGAGTCTCTATACTAATAGTTAATGATTAATCGATTACTAAATTAGTAATTGATGATTAATTCAATAATCAATTAATCATGATTATACTTATCTTTTTTAGCTCTACTCCCATTGTATCTGTTCGGGGAAAGGAGGGACATTCCGTAGAAGGTGAAGCAATGCCTCCTACCTGCCCACCAAAGCTTGGTTTTAGCCAATCACAGTAATAAATGAAATAGCATAACCACAACAAGCTTATGCCTTTATTCTCTTGCTGTTCCTCTTTCAAAAGATAACATTGTGGATTCTAAAATAAATAAAACAGATGTGAAAACAGCAGTTACGCATGCGTCCGCCAGCGCTACCATGTTTACTTTTGACTCGGTTGTGGGCTCAGCAGCTCTTTTACTCTTATACTTTTTTCGTCCTGGCTTAAACCACAAAAGTGCAACATTCAAGTCCGACCCCGTTTTGGGTCAGAATCGGTACAAGGTGGACTCTTGTATGTATCTTACCTGATAACGAAAGATTCAGCCTTCAAGCAAGGTTAAAGGTTTACCTCTGAGAGAATGGTTTAGATAAAGCATTTTTATGTTTTAACATGACCTGAATCCTTTGGAGCATGTTTCAAGTCAGTTGTGCTAAAATCTGCTTTGTAAAAATAATGGGGCCCAAAAAAAATTGGTCTGTAGATGAAGAAAGTTCGGAGAGGCATACAGAAATTATGACAGACAAAGGCTTAATACCAAAACTCAACCCAAAATGTTAGCGTTTTTTATTTTCTGGAAACTAAAACCTATGCATCTTTTTTCATCCTATTTTAACATGTCGAAGTTTTAAAAAAACAATATATGAATAGATGTGCAATGTCCCATAAAAAGTGTAAGTACCTGTGCGCTGGCAGTTACATCCTCCCGGGCTTGAAGCTTCATGCTCTTCAAAGCATCTGTTGGCTCCTTCTCACAGGGGTCCATCAAACCTGGGCCATCTGTGTGAAGGAGAGAAAACAGTATGAGACAGCGACATTCTTTCCAACCAACAACACAGAGAGGTCTAAAAGGCATGTGGCATTTATTGACATATTCATCTTTTTTTTAATTATTAAATTTTATCAAGGTTGTGCTAGTGTGTGACCTGGAAGCAGGATGCCGATGGAGATGCACTCCAGGACCCGGCGCATGGCCTCCCCTGGACTAAGCGGGCCTGTGGCACTGCTGATCACCTTCTCTACCAGCAGCTCCATTGCCTAACAAGAAAAATGTAAACTATAGTCTTATGTTTTCATGTTCCTTCTAAATCTCTTGAAACTGAATATTTTCACATGTAGTTCATTAGTGCAGTGATAGCACTTTGATAAAACTGCATAAAAACTACCAGACATGATCAGTGAAGGAAACTTACCCAGGCAGGCAGCCTCCCCCAGGTAGGAACACGCTGACACAAATCTCTCAGCACCCGAATGATGATCACACATGACTGTAATCCATTTGCACGAGCCTTTAGGGAACAAAAAATAAATGTCGTTAAAAGAGACATCTTGGAGTACTGTGGAAACTTAACTGTGGAAACAGTTCTTACAGTAGATCTTAAAACAATTCCACATAGACTAAAATAAAACATTTTATTGAGGATACCTGAAACCATTTGGCATGTCGGAGAGCAGCCAGGTTGTCCAAACATTTTTTTCGATTTAAAACGTCCAGAGGGTCTTTATCAGACACATCTGTTGAGAACAAAAAATACAGTTTTGTAACCAAGATCTCACAGACTACACATGATGTTAGCAGTAAAAGGCTCAAGCTGTTACTGTGGATTTAAATTTAACATTGGGTTATTTTTTTATAAAGCATACAACCCCACCAGGTTCAACACTCATGTAATCTTATTTAGCCAGAAATGAAATAAATCATGGGGATAAAAACATACAATAACAAATGTTAAATGTAGGCAGTTTCTTAATTGTCTACATTTAACGTTGTCTAGTGAGAAATGAATATCAAGGAATGAAAACAAAAAAAAAAAGAGAGACAGCCAGAAATATAATCCAAAGCTAGTTTAAGCTCCACACGTGATCCAAATATCAACTCTTTTACACATTCGGGTTTGCTTGCTAAAACAGACACACCTTTCAAAGGTTTCCTTTAAAAGTTTCGGTTTGTGTTCACCAGCCTTAAACCGAAGGAAAACGTGCCAGTAATGGCATTACTAGTGTTAATCCATTACAGGAAGTAAAACTGTCTGCTACAGCAAAGAATTACATAAATAGAGGTGGAGTACATGTCTACCTGGTATATTGTTTTTCTATTTTGCCGCACATTCATTGTTCAAACAGCATTAAGAACAAAAGCATTAAAAAGGTAGTAGCTTTTAAAAGAAAATAAATATTCTGATAGGAATGCCCATTCTGACATTGATGTAGCATTCTGAAAAATAGAGCAATGTCCTAAAAAAGTTTAACTTTTCTCTCTCAATCACCAAAATGTGTGTATAACTGTATCAGTAAAACTTCGGTATTGATCCAACTCCACATTTCCCCTTTACTGAGGATTTAAAAGATTATCTGCTTTTCTGGTGAAAGACTCGGGGAAACTCCCTGAGTTTTGTTTTGATGACTTAAAGGGACCTGGACAATGTAACGCAGATTGTTGTGTTGCAGATCAGTGCATTTTTTCCCCCTCATTCCACAATTGAAAATCACATTTAATAGCCCTTTAAAAAGAAATATAAAATACCTCTAGAAAACCTAAGTGTGGCTGACTTAAAAAAAAAATAATAATAATAATTATATATATATATATATATATATATATATATATATATTTAAATACATTTCTAACCTAACACTTTATTGTATGTTTTTAGAGAGTAAATCTCAAACAAATAGACTGCTTCAGTGTTATAAGACACTGGATGATGATATTGGAAGATAAATAAAAGAATGCAATTTAACTAGCCCTACAAACTAAAACAAAATCTAATATTCAATGGTTCCTTGAGTGTTGAATGCCAATAAAGCAACAGCATAAATATAGACAGGACTTCAAGGACAAATTTAAAGGAAAGAGCCTAAAAAAATAATAATTTTATTCAGAGCACAAATGGGGTAAGCTATTACTAAAATGTTAAAGAATTTCATATGCTCAGACATGGGGCTTTCCACACTTCCATATGAATGAAAACTGCATAGGTATGTTTTCTTAGATGGGAAAGAAAAACAAAAATATTTGTTTTGAAGCCAACAGCATCATACCACTAAGAATCACAAATCCATATTACCATAATTTTCAGAGCTTTAAATAAGGAGCAGTTAATTGACAGATCCTCTGTCAATTATCAAGATGAGGGTTTTATTCAGTTATGAAAAGCCTTCAAAATGAGCTAACAATGTTTTTAACGTCTCTTCTTAGTGGTATGTTCATCAGTGTGGTCTTCCTATGAGTTTGGCCTGCTATGGTCTGGTGGTACAGTGAAGGCACTGATTAACAAACACAAAGTAAACAACCAGGACTGACTGAAAACATTTGCACCATGTTTTCACAATGACTTTATAAAGAACACACAGAAATGTTAACAGTTACTTATGCAGAAATGATTGCACAACACAATGATTTTTTTTAGAGTTTATGGGGAAGTAATCTAGTGTTTCCCCTACCATGCATATACCAACACCGACCATACACAAGGCACGCAGTTTCCAACTTTTTAGGTAAAGTAGCTTTGACAAAGTTAAAAATATATATATATCTTTTCTATCACACAGTTCTTATAGTTTATTATGATGTGTAAGAGTAAATTCCAGTGTGTAATTTCCTTCGATTTTAAGTCTCCCTTGGACTTAACCCCCTCCTTTCTTGTTCAGCACTTTAACACTTTTTGTTTTAAGACAGTCTATCACATGGAAAGTGATGCAATGGAGCTAAAGATGCACATCCTTTTTTCTTTTGTTCAAGAATTCAATTAACAAACAAGATGAACTGATTTAAAATGTTTAGGTTTTAAATTAATAGGAATGTATGGCGCTTTGAACTGGTGCTGGAATTTATTTTGCCTCCTGATGATGAACTGGTTGGCCATCCCTTAAAACAGTCCAATAGCACGTCAGAGCAACATACTGCCTTTAAATGATAGTTTTATATCTCTGTACATTGGAAACCATAAATGTTTCCTATATTTTATTTATCTTTTTGATCCAATAAACAAATAGTTTCCTGTTTTGTTATATCTTATAAATAATCTTAATGTGTAAGAAAGCATTTTTTGTTTATTCAGTCAGGATTTAAAACAGCTGGTACAATAAAAACTTCAAATATAATGGTATACTGTTTTTTAACTCTGCATAATGTAAAAAAAATATAGCCCTTTATGTTATGGAAAGATACTGGACATAAAATAAAGTCTTTTTCAGAAAATGATCACTTATCAAATAATTGTTAGTTAATTGATAAGGTCAATTAAATTTAGATGAATTCATTAATAAGCTTGTATGGTCAACCAATAGTTTGGGTCTTGAGTCAATTCTGGTACAACTTTGTGGAAACCTCTGTCCTTCACACCATTATCAATGCCAATAATTTAATATGATGAATTCAGTAGAACCAATGTAATAAATGCAGCTATTTTTTGCTTGAAGCAGAAGCAACTGGATTATATAATATATGCTTTCTATTTAAAGTGTTTGTGTCAGTATACCATGACTGTGATATTTCTCTTTAAAGGAATAGTACACCCAAAACATGATTAGCCTTCATTTTCTACTCACCCCCATGCTGAACAAAACTCTGGAGTACTTTTTTGATATCTCAAATGCATCTGGAGATCTGGGAGGCTTCTTGCTGTCTGCTGACATTCAAATAATGGAGGTCTATGGCGCCCGAGACAGAAAGGTCCACAAAAGTCCACAAAAACGTGTCAATATTCCTCCATACTGCTCGTCCAATGTAATCCAAGTGTCCTGAGTGGGTAGCATCCAGAATTTACTCGAAACGAAGTCATTTAGAACGTTTTAGAGCCTAAACAGTAGTGTATAGGATTTCCTAATAGCGCCCCCATGCGCGCTCACGATTCTACGGAAGCCGGCAGACCAAACCGGAAGGAAGTGCGCATTCAGCGTCTGCTCTGCCGATAATGCAAGCGTAGAAGAAGAAATGTGCTGTTTACCTGTGCAAAGAAAGAAACAACGAAAGAAAAATGTCTGAGGACTTCAGTGTTGAGGAAGAGCATGAGTTCTTTGCCGAGCTGAATGCGCTGGTTTGGTCTGCCGGCTTCCGTAGCGTCGTGAGCGCGCATGGGGGCGCTATTAGGAAATCCTATACACTACTGTTTATGCTCTAAAAACATTCTAAATGACTTCGTTTCGAGTAAATTATGGACGCTACCCACTCAGGACACTTGGAATACATTGGACGAGCAGTATGGAGGAATATTGACACGTTTTTATGGACTTTTATGGACCTTTCTGTCTCGGGCGCCATAGACCTCCATTATTTGAATGTCAGCAGACAGCAAGAAGCCTCCCAGATCTCCAGATGCATTTGAGATATCAAAAAAGTACTCCAGAGTTTTGTTCAGCATGGGGGTGAGTAGAAAATGAAGGCTAATCATGTTTTGGGTGTACTATTCCTTTAATATACAGCGCTTTGCTCAATATGCTTAAGTTATTTAGATAGCATTATCAAGCAGTTGTGGTGGGAAATGAGGTTTCATGAACACAATGAGCCATGTCAGAGTTTTGTGCCATTCCTTCTGCCCCCCAAAAAGCAGTAAGCCTATGGGAAACACTGTCACCTCTGTGATTTTTAGAGTTAGACATAGACTTAGAAACACTTTATCATTTTGTACACACAGAGTGTATAAAAAAAGAAATTTCGTTTACTACAGCTCTCAAGACATTTTCATTTTTTAAAGTGCAGCCGTAATAAAGGTAAGCAGCACATCGTTAATGCACATCACTATGATACTGTTAAAGCACCATAGATAATGACTTATTATGAAACGGGGATGAGAGATGTAGCAGTTACAGTTGCAGAGATGCGGCACTTCTGATTATAAATGGTAGTAATTGTAAAAACAACAGCAGCTGGGAAAAATGCTCGTCCCTGTGCATTATCAGGACGATGATAGTCATCGAATATAAGGCTCTGGAAATTACTAGAGCATGCATTCATGAAATTAACAGACACAGTGTTGGCACAGAAAGGTCGGAGAGCCGGGCTTTTGATCCCCATTACAAAATAAATGGTGGACTAGTGTAGCTGCAAAGAAATTGGGAGATAAAGAGTGGGACAAATAAAAGGATGATTAAATTGTTAGGAGTTGAAATAAATCTTAAATGTGGGCACTGAAAAATAAATCCCCATAATTTTACTTAATTATGTGGGTAACATTTATATCCCTAAAAGGTGGAGTAAGAGGGAAAGTTATAGAAGTGTGCTACACATTTGGTTGCTTGGTACTGAAAGCTTTGGCTTCTCTAACCTTTCTCAGCCGCTTTTCCTTCTGCCTGCTTGTCCTTCTCAGCAGCAGTGTCCTCCCTCATCAGCGGCGAGGTGAGAGAAATGGTCACCTGCATTTTGGGCTCCTGGCTTGAACATATCACGATGTTCGCCTCCTCGGGATGAGCCTGCACCTCATACTGATCTTCAGAAAATGTCTGCCGGTTAAAAGGACACTTGGATTACTCACTACAGAGGAGGAAGGGAGTAGGGGTAAAAATAGCCTTAATTGATTACGTTATGATGCAACACTGCAGTGTTTCTTTAAACCTTTGTTAAAGGCTGCTGGGACTTAGTAACCTTATAAAGGAAAATAAAGGTCACTATGAGGAATTGTATTAATGGGTGATTAACAATGTAGTTAAAGCCATAAAATTTTGACATAAACTGGGAGGGGACTACAACATGTCTCATCTCACTCTGTAGGATTCAGGTGTCATAACCAGGCAGTAAATCTAAAGATCAGTGGAAAGCTCCTTTGATAAAACATTCAAACTGCCACAGCAGGAGGGATAAAAGTGGGGAATACATGGTAATGTTGAATAAGTTGTCTTCTACCCTCACACCGAAAGAAGATTTAGGTTAAATATAGCAAAGAAAATTTCCCCAACAGCTTGAGTTCCCAGATGATCCTACAAAAAGAGAGTCTAGATTTCTAAAAGCAAAGAAATTTCATAACAGACAGTGTGACTTTAAGGTCTTACCCCACAACATTATTGCACCACATTTTTTTTTTTCCGTAAAAATTCAAAAAATATCCACTGGACTTGGTTTTCAAGATCTTGAAAACCAAGTCCAGTGGATATTTTTTTTTCATTTTTATGGAAAGACTATGACCTGGATGACTGAGAACCTTCATCAGCACATTGCACCACATATTGATTTGAATGTCCAGAGAGGATTAAAGCCAGGAGCCAAGTAAGTTTTTTTGGTTTGCTTTGCAGTTTTGATACTTTTTGGCACATTACAGTTTACCACCATGAGGGCCATGCTTTGTAGAACCCCTTATCTGTTGAATATCCTTATAAATTTGCACAGTGGAGATTTAAATGCATGCCCATTTTTCTTTGAAATAAGCTCAGACTTTGAAAATTCATAATGAGCATCTGTGAACAACACATTTTCAAGATGTTCTTGTTAAGTTTTACTGGGCTTTCCTGTCCTTAAGTCTAAATTATTCTGTTGCAGCTGCAGCTGAATGTTTAGGGTCCTCCTGCTGGAAGGTGTGTCTGTACCCAAATCTCAAGGCTTTAGAACTGACGTCCCATCAAAGATGCCTTCCTTTTACCGCAGATCTCCACAATGCTGCTGTCATGCTTAACAGTTACTTTTTCCGCCACAGATGGGTTGAATTAAGAAAGGTTAAACTTTGGCTTTATCTTACCAAAGCCACTTATTTACTGCATCCAAGGCTACGTTCACACTGCAGCCTAAAGTGACCCAAATCCGATTTTCTGGCCCATATGCGACCTGGATCTGATCTTTTCATGACAGTCTGAACAACACAGATCTGATTTTTTCCAATGCGACCCAGGCCACTTGGCTATGTGGTCCTGAATCCGATACGGATCTGATCTTTTCAAATGCAACCTGTGTTTGAACGGTCAGGTCGGATTCATCTGAACTGAACGTCATTAATACCCGACAAACGTCACTATTCTGCGTCTTGCTACGCAGAAGCGGCAAGTAAAACAACAACCATGGCAGATGATGATGCGGAGAGCAGTATTTATGTTTAAACATATTGAAAAGATTGTGTTTTTAATGGTTGGAAAAGACAGCTAGATGTGCGCCAGCACTACTATCCATGTTTACTTCCGGAAAAAAAGAGCACGCTGGCCTGTGACCTCATTACATCCACTACTGCACATGCGAGAAACTTGCGTTGTATGACTACAGTTCACACAGGAGATCACATTCAAGTCAAATATATTTGGAAATATGAACGGCAACGCGAAAAAAATCGGATTTCACAAAGAAATCGGAATTGAGCATCAAGGCCTGCAGTGTGAACTTAGTCCAATACTTTGGTTACAGATCAGCAAATAGGACTTTGTATGGTAAGAGCATGCTTCTTGCAACTCTTCCAATAAGGCTAGACTTGGTACACTACTATGGGTTATCCTATCGACAGAATCTCCAAGCTGAGCTGCAGATATCCAAGGGCCTCTAGGCTTCTCCTCTGATCAATCTTCTACCTGACTGACCTTCTAGTTAAGGATAAAAGCCATGTCTTGGGAGATTTCAAACCTTTCTGGTTTTGGATGATTACTTGAACAGAGCTCTATAGCGTCTTTCTCTATAGACTCTGTGGAGAAAGGTGAATCTTCCAGAAGAACAATTATGCAGCAAACCACAAACCAGATCTCTATGGTAGAGTGGTCAGGCCGGAATCAGTTCCCAGTATCATGGCAGCATGACTTGAGTTTGTCAGAAAGCACCTAAAATACTCAGAGACTACGAGGAATTAGTTTCTCTGGTCTGATAAGACAAAGAATAAACAGTTTTTTTTTTTTTTTTTTTATGAAAATGTGTCGTTTTTGAAGGAAACTGACACTGTTCATCACCTGACCAAACTCATCCATACAATGACATATGGTGGAGGCAGCATACATTATGCTCTGTGGGTGGTTTTCATTGATATAAAGAAGTAAACTATTCAGAACAGAGGGAATTATGAATGCGGCATAGATTTCCTGAATGTAAACCTGCTTCCAGAGAGCTTTTGACCTCAGCCTGGGAACCAGTTTATCTTTCAGTAGGAAAATTATCCAAATTATCAGCTCGATGGACATAAATTTGATCCAGCAGTGCAAAAGAGACCTATTATTGGGGTGACAAGGCAGGAAAAATGCATGCATTTGATCTTTAAGCTTTTTCTTTTTTCAACATTTCTTTAAAAAAAAAAAAATATGTCAGCAATATTTTGTTGGTAAATTATTTTGTATTTAAATGATGTTTCAAGAGAAAAAACAAAATCCTTTAGGAATGAGCCTGAAACACAAAAATATTAAACAATATCCACTGTAGAGCTTGAAGATGACGCTTTGACTAAGTGGATTAGGTTATATTTTAAAGTTGTACATTAAACTACTTTCACCTTTTATGAAGATAAAATGCTGAATTGGACTGTAACATCTCCCTAGGGTAAAATATACAATTATGTTGTTTTAAAAGTAAAAAAATATAAATGCTCATCTCCTACACATTCTTTTTAATCTCGCAGAGCTAAAATAAAAGACTAGTATTCCTATGCAAGATCTCAGGATCATGAAAACAACAAGTAACTTACATAGAAAACCCAGGAAAATATATATTTTTGGAATTAAAAAGTGTTGAATTATTGAGTGAGTGCTTACTGATAGTTCCTTTGGCAGCTGCTGGGCGATGCTCTTTAGTAACGAGATGGTGGGTTTCTTAGCAGTAAGCAGTACAAGCTCCACATTCCTGTCCCCTCGAAGCAGAAGTCCTTTGGCTAGGATCCCCACTCTCATCACGCCTTTGAGCAGCCGTGCGGGGTTCTCAGCGCTGATGAGAAGAAAAAAAACAACACAGGACATAAGATTTAAATGATCATATTTAAAGTACATTTAGAGATGCCTCCAATGAGACATTCTTTGATCATTTATCCTTTATTTTGAAAGACAGATTTCTATTATGAAAGGTTCTGTAAATTCAGCATTTAATGCAATAATGACTTTTCTGCAGAGGATACCATCTGTAGCCACAGATGGTGACACTTTGCTCTCCTTTGCACGGAAAGTAAATATAGATACTGACACCTTTGCAGAGTACCCTTATTTAGGCATTCTTCAGGTTAGGACTAAAACGTATCAGTTTCCTGTGACCAATAATAAACTATAAGCAAAACAGTCAGACCTATAGAGCGTGAGCCGTTTATAGGTAATAAAAACTGCCCAAACCAAATGCTGATGTACAAAATGTTCGCTTAGATATTTAAAATCAAATAGGACATTGAACACACTTTCTTTAAAAACAAAAAAAAGCTTTCATGAGTTTTATCCATCGTTATCCTAAATTATATGATTAAATTGCCACAAATTATATTTGTTAAAGAGGCAGAAATGTAAAACTTTAATTCAGTTAAAGAAATTAAACATTTTAAATATTTTTCTTTAATATATGTGCTTTGATCAAAATTACAACTCAGGGACTTACATATATTCTTTTGGGAAAGTCTGTTAGGGTGCAAATTCTATGTTAAATATGTTAGGCATTTTGATTTTAGCCAAAGTGATCTGAAAAATAGATGCCACTCCACTTACTTCGTTCCTTCTCCTCCCCCAGTAGCAGGGGAGGTGGAAGCTGGTTCCTCCTTCTCAAGCAGGGAGTCTGACACCAGTTTAAGAGCTCGCTCGGAATGGGAGACGATCCTCTGAACAGCTTGCAGCTCCTCTTCCACTGGGTAAATAGTCGAATGCTTTGCCATGATGTGACGATCATCGGCAGAATCAGGGCGGCAAACACAATTCTTAAAGCACAGAGAGGCTTATGGTCAAGGGTACATTTTTTATGTCTTCTTAACAAACAACTAATAGTCATTCTAAAGTGCCGTGCAACAAGTAGACCTTGGTGTTTGGGAGCATGAAGACCTGAACACACCAGACACAATAAAGCATCTGTTGCAACAGATCTACAGTGGCATATAATACGTGCTAATAATGACACAGAAGGTCCACAAGGTAAGATCTACACTATTTAAGAGCAGCGGCACCAATGCCTGTACACAGATTGAAATGTGAGACGAGTACTTGGAGCCACAGAGCTAAGACAGCAGCGTGCAAAAGTCAGTTTTAATCTCGGCTCCAACCATCTCAGTTGTTGTGTTCTTGGGCAAGACACTCAACCCACATTGCCTCCTGGTGGTGGTTCGTGTGTGAATGTGTTTATGAATGAGTGATTGACTAAATTTAGAGTAAAGAAGAGGGAAAGAATAAAAAAGCACTATATAACTACAGGCCAAAGTAAATATTTCCACGATAGGACCACTATTCTGAATAAATGTATCCTCCATTATATAATGTAATTATGCTATTATAATGACAACTCTATGAAGGATGATAAACTAATCATAAAGTTTAATCTGATCAAATATCACAAAAGTCTTCAGATTTTCTCTACCAAGAACCAAATTGAACAATAATGCTCACCAGTAGAGGGGGAACTGGCATACCGGGACGACTCATAAGAGGTGGAGGAGGTGGGGGTGGCATCCTGCGTCTCTGCTCTCCCCAGTACATCTGCTCCTCTTCCATCCTTCTCCAGTACATGTCCTCCTCATACCGTCTGCATGAACAAGTCATAATTTTAATACCTTAAAAACTTTTCAACACAGAATCTTTCCCACCGGTTAATATAAACAATGTGAAACTTTTTTTTTTTTTTTATCTAATTTCTGATTGACAAGTAAAAATGTTTTTGGTGATAAACACAGAAGAAAACCCACATGCGTGACCAGCGTCACAAGCAGTCTATTCATGTGAGTCTTACTGTCAGTTGGTCAACTTCACCCACTTCCCTTTTTGCGTTGTTACCTACGTGGATGCATGTTACTCATTTACTTCTTTTTTAAGATCGCTTCTGTATCAACAACTGAATTCGTCAAAACCGTCATCAAAATGTGGCCAAGTTTAGGCCTGTGAATAAGAGTCCAGTCTGACCTCATCTCCACGTGCCAGCGCTGCTCATCCTCTCTCTGTCTTTTCAGCGTGGCCTTCAGCTTCTGCTTCTTCAGCTTGCTCTCTTGAAGCTTCTTGGCTCGATTGCTAGGCTTAATCTCCACAGGAAGCTCTGGGTTGACTTTTTTCTGCAGGTCAAAAGAAGGTGTCAGGGCAACCGTGATAGTAATGTAACCAATTTAAAAAGTGTCCGTGCACTTTTGATAAGCACTTGATGGATACAGGTTTAGACTGTTTTGACTGTTTTGCTCACCAGCCAATGTGGCTAATGGTTTTCCAGTTACTGGCTGCTCTGCATTTTCACAAGCCAAAACCTTTTAAGATCCAAAATTCTTTTGAGGAAGTGGTGAGTATCAAGAGCAAAGGGGGCGAGTAAGGTCCGGCACTTGGCAACTGTAATAGCAATGGACAAGGTGCTGAGCAGGTCCTGATTGGATCCTGCTGGCCTTAGTATTTCCTGCTTTTCAATTTGTTTCCCATTATTAGCATTAGCGTTTTTTATTTTGTTTTTTTCTGAAACCTTGAATGTGCCATCAGATCACCACCCCACAACTGCACAACTATGTTATCCACAGGGACCGCTTGTCTATACTTGAATGAATGGACCAATGAGGACCCTACATGAAAAACAAAAAAAAAAGATATTGAATGTCATTGATCTCACAATGGAAAAATTAACTCTCTGCATTTAACCCATCCCCTTTGGGGAGCAGGGGGCTTTCATTGTGCGGCGCCCGGGGAGCAGTGAGGGGTAAAGAGTCTTGCTCAGAGACCCAGAGTGCAGGCTGTGGGAACTGAACCGGTTACTTGCAACTTTCTCAGAGCATAAGCGCACTGCTGTAACCACTAAAGGGTAGGTTATACTTCTGCATCCGCACACATCAAATGTCGCTTGGATCTGGTCGCAAACCAGTTTTGCTGGTATGCTTCTGCACCGTCGGTCTGGAATTTCTAGGGACGCACAGCAGTTTCCCTCCAAAGCGCAAGGGGGAGCCTATTCAAGAACTTGCAAGAACTTCAGTGGATGGTCATGAGAACTTCGGCGGTGTCGGCGGAGTGTTTATCTTCCAAAACAACAATGGCGCGTCTGCAAGATATCACGGTCACGAAGATGGATCTAGAGTTGCTAGACATCGAAGAGGAACAGGTTCTGTTAATGGTGTTAGCAAATAGACAAAGGAGGATGCGTAGGTTGTCCATTGCAGTTGTTCCTCGGTTTTTAAAAATGGTGCGCCCCGCCACCAAATCGAGAAGGACGACCACACAGACAGCCGGAAAGGCATACCAAGGACCAATCACAGCTGCTTTTTGTCTGCGCACTTCACTTGAGGTCTGCGCGGGTTTGTGACCATCCGACATGTAGTCAGGATTTTTTGGAGGTGCGCAACAACGGTCACAGAATCTCTGCACAGAGCCAGATTTGACGATTGCAGAGGCTATTCATCAGAAGCATAAATTGGCCTTAAGCCCCTGAAAGACTGTCAAATTAAGTTAACCTCATTCATGAATTTGGGAGACCCCTTCATGTTCTATGCTTTTTTGATATCTAATAATGATGACGAACAGAAAATATGGAACAGCAGCCTAGGATATTTTAATCATGATTTGATCCCAGAAAAACACATGGGATGCTAAGCCAAGCATGCAAACATTCAGACATTTATTTCCACTCTAACCACCTTTACAGCAGTTAGTTATATTTTCTGTCATAGAATTTACATAGAGAGGTATCTAAAAGGCCACCATGCAGGGATCAGCTTATCCACATTTGTATGCATTTACCTTGTATTGCAGTCTGTGCCTTCGTCCCTTTAGGTGCATGTCTTTAGCATTGGGGTCATTGAAGCTGCATTCACATAGTTTACAGTGAAATCGAATCACCTTTCCATCCTCGTTACGTACCTGAAAGCACGAGACAGTCTTTTAATACTGAAAATATAAAACAATGTAAAGAAGACAAGCTTTTCTTAAGAATTCTTTGAATGGTATGATTTAAACCTAAAAAGAGCAATAGAAAACATGAAATAAGCCTTGCAGAAGCTATTCCACAATAACAACTTGTAACAACACTTGTAAGTATTCATCAAATTCATCAGTTTCTTACTTCAGTCAGCCAGAGTGCTTAACTTTCTTTCTTTTCTCTCTTTACGTGTAACTCTGTTGCAATTAAATCTAACCACTGCAATACATGGTTTTTCTTTTTTTCACTGTGTTTTTGCATGTTTGCTCATAGGGAAGGTCAAGAAAAGGTAAATATATGCAAAACAAAATCCCTCATATTGCGTAAAGCTACAACTGCTGTTGTTTTAAACTGATCCAGGGTTGCCGTTTGTCGGTATTAAAGTTCATATATAAATCATCTATTACATTTAGGTAATATAAAATGAATTTTATCCTGTTAAAATGTTAAATTTCGGTTTTCTTAATATATTTAGCTTTCATCTTCCCTAATGATTGGTTCACACTGCAAGATAACTGTCAATTTCTGCACCCATTTTCCCCTTCCAACACTCCTAATCACGCCCTGATTATCATGATGTCTCCAAAAGCCAAAATACACAGAATCCGGTTTTGTTTCCGATCCAACAGGAAATTGTGTAGTTTAGTGCTCATTGACAGTCAGAAGGGAGAAACACACTAAACATGATTTTCTGCAAGAGGTGGTGTGTAGCCCTGCCTGAGATAGACCGCAGGTTGGACTACACAACAATTCAGCTGCAATTTATTCATTCTCACAGGAAGAGAGGAGCGGTTATAAATCAAAACACATCCACTTTGGGTGAAAATTAAAAAATAAAATCAGTTAATCGCAAGGGAACACAGTCATGTTTGCGGTCGCACAATGCGGTGCGGCAGACTTGAGGACAAACAATCAATAAGACATTTTTTAGACTAAAAAAGAGAGCGCAGACCTCTGCCATGCAGAAAATTTTAACCCATATGGTGACTTGCACCTTTAGCTAAAACTGGCACATGATCTGGGTTATTACCAACTTTGAGTGAATTGTTCCTTGGCATGAGGTGCACCTTTGGTAACAATTCCCTTAAAACCCTTAATAAGCTTATAAATAAAGCACAGTGTGTTTCTACAGCCTCTGGTGTTTTTTCTGCTTCATTCACTCGACTTTCTTCTTTGACCAGCAGATCGAAACTTCAAGCGATGCATGGTTCACCTTTCCTGTCGTTGTCTTCAGTACAATACTTCTGGACTTTTTGTTTTTGAGTCTAATGTTGTCAATAGTCACTGCTACCACCCTCTGGTTTAGGGGGGGATCTGCTTGTTCTGCAAAATAATGTATAAGAATCCTTTAAAAAACATCTGCATCCGGATTATGATGTGGATCATCACCAAATTTAATGGATTGTCAAATGTTGTTATTAATCTTAAACTATTAGATGGGCATGTAGGTGTCGCAGTGCTTAGTGCGCATGACCGATGTACGGAGGCCTTATTCCTCGACCAGGCTGACTCTGGTTCGGATTCAGCCTGTGGTCCTTTGCCGCATGTCTCTCCCCCTCTCTCATACCCCCTTTCCTATCAGCCTACTGTCAGAAAAACGAGCCACTAGTGCCGTAAAAACTAAAACTGAGAGATGGCACACGAGGGAAAATAACGTTCAGCCAAGATTTTCCAGATTAACAAAGAGAACAATAGTTAATAAGCTTAAATAAACCTAAACTGGGACAAACTAGACAGAAACGATACTCATTAGTATGTTGCCAGCAAATAAACATGTACGGAGTGATTTTTGTTCCATTATTGCTGCAAGCAAAGGAAACAATTGTTAAATATAATCAAAAAAGAAAAAATGAACAAAATATACAAATACTACAAAAAACGTTAAATAACTTCTTCATAAAAACAGGTTTAGAGAGTTACTTAACTATTTTCAAAATTTATTTATTTATTTTTTTTGCTGCTAACATCCAAGCAGATACAAATGCGTCTTCGCTGCCCCAGAAGTGAAGAGAAAATTATAGCACTGGGACTTAATATCTCGCTGTAGGGTAATAGTGCAGAAAATCTTGAGAATAAGATGCAATTAGAAAATAATTCAGTTTGTACATCCGACAAAGACATTTGAAAAGATTATATTTGAAAAAGCAAAAAACATGAAAAAATAAAACCAGCTTAGAAAACAGCAAAGTTACTCTTAAAACTAGTTCTTTGGATTAAGAAGTTTTCTAAAGTCTCATATCTGGACACATTTTTCCATTTACAAAACAAGTTCTTTGCTAGCTACAAAAACAGAACAGAATTGACTGCATAAACATGAGGGCAGTTTTTAACAAATCTTTACTGGGTGTCCCCATAATACACAAGTCAGTAATTCATACCAATAAAGCTAAATTGAATAATAGTTTTTACTTTAACATCATATTTTAATTGACATTTTCAATTAAAATGAAAAAAAGAGACCTAAGCAACTGCTGTAAATAGCAGCTGGAGTCAGAAACACTACACAGCTCTAACTGGGATTTAATGGTCTCCATGTCACTCTTACCTCCTCAACATAGTCATGTCCCACAGGCTGGACGTCACCCTGGCCTCCAGCTCGGTCATCTTCAGTCTTTGGCTCCATCTTTGGAATTTTGTGCTGAACAGGCTCCTCCACTTTAACTGCCACAGGTGTTACAGGAGCAGCTGCAGCAGGAGCACTGACTGGCTTATTGGCTGTAATGAAAACCAAAAGTTTAAAGAGTCGTCTGAAGGAAAATAAACAAAACAAAAAACTGTGCAAACAGAATTATAATCTTAGCATATAGAGTAGACTAATTTTGATCATTAATCTGGTGTAGCTGCAATACTACAAACACATAAAAAAAAGTTCATTAAAATGTCTTTTATAAAGGCATGAAGAATAAAATAAACTTACAAACGGGAGTTAACTTGATGGGAACTGGTTTCTTGGTCTGTGGTGTTATTTTGGCCGTAGGGTTTACAGCTGGCTGTTTGGTTGTTACAGCTGGGGTGGAAATGGTTGAAATCGAGGACGACACAGAGGATGATGCTGTTTGTTTCCCAGCTATGCAGTTTGTTGTAACTGGGGCAGAATTCACCAACACCGGCTCAGTGGAAGGGATTGGTTTGCCAAGTTTAGTGTGAAGTTTAACCACCTTTTAATAGTTTGCAAAGAGACAGAGGAATATTTAAGCATAAAAAAAAAACAAAAAAAAACATAAAATCCCAAGAATGACAATGCTCTTAAACTCAATGGAACAATAGACGGAATAAGCCAGAAGATTAAGCATAGTAGCTGCCAGAACTGTCAGAATTCTTAAAAGTAACAGAAAGAAATAACCAACCTTCTGGTGTTTTGCCCCCCGGATGTGAGCAGCATAGGCATCAACCCCAGTGCATGAAACATCACACAGTTCGCATCGTAACTGGGTCTGGACTCCTCTGGGCCCATTGGTGGTCCCAGACTGCCCCCCTGCCTTCAGGGCTGCCTCCTTTTTTTTATGTTTTTGGCCCTCATTGTGTTCTCGGTACGTCTAAACACAGAAGAGACATCGCTCCAATCAGATGTTTAATAAGCAGTCATTATTATCGCTTTAAAACTATTATGGTAACACCTCCAATTATTTAACCTAGAAAACAGATTTCTGCACATGTTATCCTGCCTACCTGAGGGCCTGCACAGCTGATCTTGCAAATGTCACAGTAATGAAGCTGAGACTGCTTTGGAGGCCCTTTGGGCCTTTGCAATTTATTCTGGTGGAAGGCCGGCTTTTTGTAGGAGTTTAAGGTCGGAGTTGTCACCATGTTGCTCCCTGAGGTACTCCAAGAGGAACTAGTCAGCTGTTTTGGTGGCGGCTGAATGGAGGGCTGGGGCTGCTGAAGCTGCTGTGGTGGAGGCTGGGGTTGAGCCAAAGTCTGCTGAGCTGGCTGGTAATAGGTGGGGGTGGATGCAGAGGTATAGCCAATAGAATCGTAACTGGAGTAGCTGATACCTAAGGAGGAGGGAGCAGAAAGGAGAGACTAAGGACCAGCTTATGAAAACATGAAATCAAGTAGGATGTGGGGAATTGTGAACAATCAACCATTACAAAAAAAGAAACCGACAGAACATGGTGTCCTTTGGTTTCACTGCAAGGAGAAAGCATTCACCCCTCTGCAGTAAATATGCAGTCGAAACCTTTGCTTCATCATTAAACTTCTGTTTTTTGTGTGTTTTTTTCTAATTTAGGGGGCTTTAAAGACAACTATTAACTCGAAGGCGCTAACTATGGCACTAACTATGGGGCACCAGGCCTCAGTTGTCACTGCAGCTGTATTAAATAACAGAGGAGTTTGCTCTTCCTTTTGCAATAGCATTGTAATCTGATGCATTCCTGCAATAGAAGTAGCTCTCTATCCATTTTTGATGGCATTATAACTGCATAATAAAGATGTATAAACAGGCACTTGCATCATATTTTACATTATTTCAATCTATTTTATATCTATTTGATAGTTAGCTCATTACAGCACATTATTTAACGAGAATAGGTCTTAAAATTCATATTAAGAATTTTAATTTTAAAAAAGCGGTCAAGTGATTTTTATCTGTACTATTTCACCTGAATAAGAGGTAGCAGAAACAGTGGAGCTGAAAGAGGAGCCCGGCGTGTATGATGAAATGGGTGTTGGGGGCTGTTGGACACTAGTGGACACTGGGTAGATGTTGTAGCTGGTTGACACAGCACTGGAGGGAACCAGAGGTTTGAGAGCGGTCACCTGCCTCTGGGCCAGAGGAGGCTGGTTGTACACAGTGGAGGGAGCTGGGCTGTAAGAGCTTTTCACTCCTACTGAGACTGAAACATAGCAAGAAGATGAAGAAAGAGCCAGTGTGAAAGAGGGGCAGTGGTAAGAACGCTCTGACAAATAAAAATCACACAAAAGGCCTCAATACCTCTTTAATGTAGCAACAGTCCACGTATTTAAAGAGCTCAAAGTAAAAATTACCCTTATTAAAAATACTGATGTCAGTATTACATTGAAATGGTCTATTGATATTTGAACAACAATAAATCTGATGTGTGTGAATTGATTAGAAGAAGATTTTGAGGAGAATGAAAATGTATCTGACGCGGGGAAAATAAAATCCAGACAGTAACACATGTAAAGTCTAAAGCTGGGATCATGCTGCACAACTGTCACAGTCATGACAGATTTTGAACAGATTGGGACTGAGAGACATCACATACCTAACATTTGCTGGATAAAAGACTTTAAGGGATTTTCAAACCGATTAAAGCAAACTCCAAGCTTGTTAAAAACAATCCTGCAACTGTGACTTAAAGCCCACCATTAGGGGGTGAAGATTGAGGATATTTTGAGGAATTTGGACCATGTAATTTTCTGTGTCTATCCTCATAAAATGAATTAGATGTAAAAGAAAATGTTAGATTTAACATCCAACTCAGAATGACATGGATAACTGGATTCTATGCAACTTTCATGCAGAGTTTGGAACATTTGAGGTTGATAGTTTGTGGGTTTAGCATTGACTTTCATAGTTGACTTTAACCTTAAAATGTTATCATCATAAGCATAAGAATATCCACTGTTATCTGCATGTTCTTATAGGTAAAGTGGGCAATTTTCTTTCAGCTTCAAGTTCTGTGGGATCATCTCATCTATTTATTGTCCCGTATTCCAATCCATGTGATGGCTCATTCCCTCTTGCTGCACATGAGCACTTCTAGTGTTTCTGTATCCAGTGTGGTTTGGTGTCAGCCATTCAATGCAGCTCAACTGCTTTATCCGTATACCCCCAAAAAAAAAATGCCTGAGTCACAAGAAGCAAATGTTCAACAAGTTTATGAGAAGAGGGAGGCCCCAGAAGAACAGTCAAGATGGTCTGTGCATGCACACTTATTTGAAAAGTGATTTTTCTTAGCTACAATTCTGGAAAAAATCTTTCACTATGCCATTAATAAAGCCTGGGCTGCTTCACAAAGCAAACGTTAAGGATGTATAACACAGGTTTATTCTGTGTGGAAAATAATTCATTAAAAAACACTAGATTTAATCAAGTTTCCTTCACCTTTATGTGTTTCAGTAAGTGAATTTTTTGGTTTCATTGTTTACTGACAGATTTTCGTACCGACTCCCCTGCTGACTGAGGGCAACTTTAGCAGACCTTATAATTAAAGGTATAGTGGAGGATTTTCGAGACTTTTTGAAAAGATCCGCCTTCTCCACTTTAAAAAACAAACGCCTATTAAACGCATGCGAGAACATTCACGAGCCCATTTCTCCTCGTGCATGAGCTGTTTAAAAGTTGCTCTTTGCATCGCTCATACAAGCTTACTTTCCAAAATAAGATTTGCAATTTTTTCCACTATGTCAGACTCACCACCGGTAAGAAAAAATGGGGACAAGCACGTAGGACAGCTTGACGTAAACATCTCACCAGAATGATTGACAATTAGGAGGACCACTTATTTTGATGATCCACCCTGAAAAAGAACATCCTCCAATATACCTTTAGGAATAGTGTGCAAAATCAGACAAAGGACTTAGTAGCGTGTCCCTAGTTTAGGGGATTGCTCAGATATCTAAGCTAGGGTTTAATGTAATACTTATCAGTAGACTACATCTATTCTAAGGTACACTTTAGGCAATCTTAGTTTGGAGAAACATAAAGAGGCTCTGACAGTAGAGTTAAGCAAATGGCTGGTCAGGCTGGGATCATTTCGAGAATAATTTCCCCCTCCGATCTCCAAATAACATAAGTCTCAGTTTGTGTAAACAGCATTTCATAAGTATTTAGACCTTAATCACCTTAGTTATATAGATTAAAGTATTTGATCATTTACTGAGTAGACCAAGCAGGATTATATTGTTCACAAATTTACAGAACTTCACTTATAAGTCAGTACAAAAATCACTCTAATGTTGTTATTTGTGCTGTACAACATTATGATCAACAGTAAAATGTATAAAGCAAGAGATGAGAAAGAAATGACTCTTACCGGTCTGGTAATAGTTATCTGTGGGCGTCCTCTGGGCTGGTGCTACACTTGTCTGGTAATACTGTTTGTTGTCATAAGTGGTTACTGCAGCAGAACGCACATAGCTATAGTTCTCCTGCTGCTGTTTAAAAAAAACAAAAACAAAACCATGACATCACAAAGTTTTTGTCCCTTTTCATGGTCTCATAACAAAACATTCAGGATGAAAACTACAGAGAGATCAGTCTTTATGAATTACCATTAAATGCAACCAAAAGAGTAGGCTTAGAAATAATAAAAAAAGAATGTTATAAAGTATTATAAAGGAAAGGGAGCAAAATTATAGAGGAAGCAAAGGGAAACTGACCATGTCTGAGTATACCTGGTACGTCTGTGGAGTGGTGGTGGGTTGTGGTGGATCTGGCTGTCTGTAGGTGTAATCTGGTGGTGCCTGGTGGCTCTGGTAGGCAGGATAAGGGGCTGTGGCCACCGGTCGGGCTGCCTGGACCGGAGCTGGGGAGTATGAGGCGGTTACAGCGTGGGCCACAGCTGGAGCCTGCTGGACACTGTAGCTGGCAGTAGAGGGATGGGAGTAAGCTGTGGGTGGCTGGGTACTAAATGATAGAAGAGAAGAAAAAGAAGCATCACACTATATGAATTTTTATTTATTTATATTCTTATCCATCGGTCCGTCTGCTTTAATTTTTTTTCATTATTTTATCTAAGAATTTATTTTTTAAAAAGTAACTTTGAATACAAATGTACGCTAACAGAAAATGTTCATTTAAAAATAAAAAACTGGCTGTGTTTGAATTAAATAGTTCTGATAATTTTCATGATAAAGTTTATTTTCATAGTAAATTAATACAACATCTAAGATTACAGTCTGTTTCAGTGCAAAGAATATATTTAAATTTTAAGAAAATCAATAAATAAGGAAATTTATTTAAAAAAATGTCAATGTTCCAAATTATTAATCTGACATAATAGATTACAAACAAGTAGAAAGAGAAAAATAAACTTAGAAAATTTTCAACTGGCCATATGCATTAGTCTCTCTTCGATTGTCAACTTTGCTGTCAAAATATTGTCAGTGTTTTATTTCTGTTCTAAATATATTATACAATATACAAAACAAATGAAGCACATAAATCATTTCAAAATGCCCTCAATGCTGCCAAACTATAATTTTTTACTAACTTTGAGCAGGCCAAGGATACACCCATTGTACCAACTTAGATAACAAGACCCCTTAAAATGACTGTGGCACAAATTTTAGATGAATCCTCATATTTCCTACCTCTGAAAATTTTCGCTTTAATAATAATATGTTCTAATTTGAGCCAAATACTTCTCACTAAAGCTTATATTAATGTTTGCTGTTGGCACAGCCAGTATCTGTAGGAGCAGCTAAAGATTGAGGTAATGGTAAAGAGTCCTTCCAACATCAAATATATTCATGCCAACAAAGACTTTACCTCTGAAAGAAGGGCATAAATAACTTTCAAAATACTTGTTGCTTTTTATGTCCACTGAAACACTAATACTAATAATTAAAAGTAACAATTATCATTTCACATTGTGCATTTACAAAGTTCTTTTTTAAATATAAAATTATTTAAAAACTAACTGGCAGTGCTTAATCAATATTAAAGCTTCAGGTGTACAGTTTAAACAAATTCCATTCAATAAGTAATGCCCCTGGGCCACTTCCAGATGATTGAAGGAGCTGAACTTTTGCATGTGAAGTATTTTAAATCTCTATAGATTAAATGGAAATTTACAGCTCTAAACTAATTATGGTTTCTGATTTACAGGTGTTCAAACTGAGTCAAGTCTGAGTTTTTGAATTTGAAAGGACGCACACAACTGTACATTTTTGATCAAATGAAAGTAACTTATAGTGATAATATCCCATAATATAACCTTGTCAAACCCTTTGCAAGGTCATATAATGGGCATCATAACCATAAGTTAATTTAATTTCCAATAGAAAAACTGGATCACTGCTTGACACTTAACATTTTAGACTTTACTCAGTTCAGACATCTGTAAGTCAGAAACCACAAATAGCTCAGAGCTGTAATTTGCTACTTAATCTATAGAGATTTAAATAACGTGACGTCACATACAAAATTTCAGCTGGATCAAACATCTGTAAGTATGTCAGGAGCATTACTTATTGAACTCCTCTGGTAATATAGTTCATACTACAGTGATGCATGTAAAAAAAAAAAAAAACAATCCTGGTGTGAAGTAAAAACATGAGGCAAACTTTGATGATGCACAGTTCATAAAACGGATCCCTAATGGCTGGAATTCAACCACAATAGTAGATGGAAAAGGAAAGCATACCTAACTGACAGCAGATTATAATTAATTTTACTAGATTACCTGTCAGCTTGAGGAGGTTTTGTTAATTAAAACTTGCAAAAGACAAAACTGGAGGCTGTTTTACTAACTAACTGATTTTCTGCTGGCCTATAGGCATTCACCTGACTCTATATATGCTAAAACTTTGGGTTATTGAGAGAGCTCTGCAGTGATCATTGTAAACCTCTAAAATCTCATACGCCGGTAAAAAAAAAAAAACCTCACCTGCCTCAGGCATCTGCGTTGCTGAGCCGCATACGCCTAACTTGTTTTGATATGTCACGCTACAGCAACAAATGAAAAACAATAACGGTCCACATTAAGCTGTTCTTTCACAGAGGAGGTCCAAATTGAGGTTCATCTAATGTCAAGCCGCAAGTCGGATAAACGCTGGCCTGTCAAACTGGTTAGCTAACGTTAGCTAACCGTTTCTAAAGGGTCAAGGCAACCCCTCTGACGACCCCCGTCCCCACGATATCCTCCACAAACCCACAACCTTGACCTAAAAGATTAATGACAACAACTCATTTGATGTGAAATACCTGTACTGTGGACTGGCACCATGTGTAAAGCCGAAATAGTTGCTTGCAGCCATTTTAGCCAACCTCCCCGCTACAGTACAGTCCACACAGGCTGGGACAAACAGCAGCGAAGCCGTGAAACTTAACTTCAAGATAGTTCCCCTCCCCCTCTCTTTGACTCATGCAAATCCGACCGCCAAAAGGGGCTTTAAACTGCAAACATATGTTATTTCCTGGTAAATAAATTACAGTGAAAACTACTGGTAATTAAAAAAATATATATATAAAGTTTGTGAATTTGAATGGCCTGTTTTAAACATTTCAATGATGCTGCACTATTTATTAAGCGAAAACGGAAGTACTTTGAAGAGTACATTCATCGTCGCAAACCTGAATCAAATAAATACTTTTAACTGATTTTTTGTTCGCCTGGACAGCAATGAAATGATGATCATGACAATGATTATAATTTGGAAAACGGAGATTAAATACATGGTAATAAAGATAAATATTAGATACAATTTAAATATTGATTGTTTTATTATCAAAAAATACAAATGTATGTTAATAGTTGACAACTAATGCATTACTGTGACATATGTTCTATATTTTTTTATTGTCTTTTTAATTAATTATGTTATTATTACACAGTTCATAATAATTACGTTTGTATGATTACTGTATTAATTGTTATTATCAGACAATACAACATAACATCAGAGGTGTTTGGTTTATTGTAATATACTAGGAAAGTATTTAACAAGAAATAGAGACAATTTAAGCCGCTTCTACATTTTTAACATAGGGACATTTCAAATTTGTATTCCAGTGAAGAAAACCTCTCTTTATGATGCACTATAAAGGTATGGCCTACATATATAGAGAAGTCCCAAAGCACAACAACTGTACCAGAGAGATGATTGGCTGGCCAAAAGTGAGGTAATGTGCTGCATACCTCATGTTGTATGAATAACTGTGTGCTGTGTGCTATGTATGAAAGAGACTGGGGCAATGAGACGGAGAGGGAGGGGAGAGGGTTTGGGTGGAAGGAGAGAGAGAGATGCTGTTGCCAGGGAACACCAGCCACATAGAGGACGGCAGAAAAAACAACTGCAGGATTATCCAGCAGAGTGAAGGACACAGAGTCCAAAGCTCGTTTCCCCCAAGTAAACGTAGGGTTAATTAAAATGGTTCCATGGAGGATTTTGGATATGGTCGAGAAAAATATATGGAAGATATGAAATTGTGATGATGTATGTGAATTTACATGAAGAAAAAAAGGGGAGCTAGATAGAACGTGCACGGTGCCAGAGCAGATGCATTCCCATTAAAGGAATTTTTTGTCTTGGAAGGGTGCAAAAAGACTATCGACTTACTCCTCACGGCCAATCTCTCTCCAACAGAGGTGGCCAAAGCTGGAGAAGAGGAGGAGTGATCCAAAACAGAGGTCCCCCCTGTCTCCTGACACCTGCTGCCTGCTATTTGCTGACACTGAGGACATTGTAGGACTGTGTCGGTGCATGAATGTTTATGCATATATATTCATGAAAAACAGACCAACCCATGCTTCTCGGCTGATATGGGAGATTCGACCCTGAAATCTTTGCATATGTGACTGAGGAAGAAGAGGACACCCAGACATAGACCTGACCTGGAGAGAAAATCTTGCCATCCAAGTGAGTTAACCATCTTAAATTGGCATTTGCCTGTTGCACAGACAACTGATACTGATAACAAACAGTAGGTTGTACGTTAATATCCATGATGTTATTCTTTTTTTTTTTATGGGAAGTTTGGTTTGGGGGAATTACGAAGACAGTGGAGACATTTTATTGTAAAGGTGGTGCACATGGTTGTGGTGAATTTCAAAGAGGAAAGGACTGAAGTGTGGGGTCTTTCACTGGTAGTCAATACAATGACGTTATAAGTACAAATGTTATCATTGACATGTAGATCAACATTCTACATATCTACATTGCCTTAAAAAACTTAAATTGTCTCTATATATTCTAACTATGTTATTTCAACCATCTTTGGATGGAGCTGTCCGTCGTTTATGTACCAATCTCATGTATGATTAGAGACTGGAAATTGTTTCCTACACCTATGGGTTAGATGTCATTCAGTATACCTTCACTCGTAAACATTGTCTCATCAAAACCCTCCTGATCATAATGATTGTTTAAGTATTCCTGTAAAATTTCTTCATGATGTTGACTGCATATTTTGTTTTTTGGTTATTTTATATTTTTTGGTCATCTTATCTTCCCATACATTTGTGATGTTAAAACCCATGTGTTGCAAATAGCTTGAGTGGCACTGGTATAAGGAGCTGTTGAAAGGAATCCTCTCTCTGGTTTGCTTATTGTGGAGTAATATAGATGGAAACCCAAACTAATGCTTTATATTTGTCCAATCGATTGAGTTTCTCTGTTTCTCCAATAATGTCTGCCAGAATGCAGAAACTCCTTAGGCATAATGTATATAAGAGCTTGAGAACCTTATTTTTTAGAGTCAGTGCAACTGAGAACAGATGGTCAATAAAGTTGTAACTTTCCCATTTTCCCAAATCCATTTTCACTCATGGATAGATCATTTTCTGCAATTATACAGAATATAGGTACTCAACATAATCCTGATTAAAGAAGAAAAAAATAGAAGTGAATACTCTTGATGCCTTAGGCCAGGGATGCTCAAATCCAGTCCTCAAGAGCTACTATCCTGCAACTTTTTGACGCACCCCATTTTTAACACACCTGAATCAAATGAGTGGCTTGTTACCATGCCTCTGCTGGGCTAAATGAGTGGATTGAGCCTGTGAATTCAGGTGTGTTAGAGAACGGATGCATCTAAAGGTTACAGGATGATAGCTCTTGAGGACTGGACTTGAGCACCCCTGCCTTATGCGATGTCATCAGAAGCATGTGTAAACAGAAGCTTTTGTTTTTGAAAAAAAGATTTTATTTGATCAAAAATGTCACAACAAAATACTAAAATGAGTAAAAATAAAAAAAAAACAATCATGACATTTTCTATAGGTGTATTATATCAGAACTTAGTTGATTTAAAGACAAGTCTAATGTATAACCTTAAAGCATATCCTTATTGAATCTACTGAATTCAGAGGGATTAAGCCCCTACATGGTGTTCCACACTGGCCTTTTACATTCCAAACTGGAGGAAGTTTGTCGGTGCTTTTTGAGGTTAAGAGGAGTTGATCCCAGGAAGCAGGTTCTGTCCTAGTCTGTCACATGCAGAGGCGATTCTACAGTCTGTGGGGCCCCAAGCAAAAAATCCTAGGGGGCCCTACTGACCAGTGTTCATCACCATTATGTTAGGCTATAAATAATCTGACACCAAAGAAAAATGTATTAAATTAAACTTTTTTTATTCCAAATGTTCTAAACATGAACAACCTTGTTATTTTGGAAGATATAAAAGAATAAAAGTAAAGAATGAACTAATAAATTAAAATAAATGTATAATAAAATAAAAAAAACAGTAAATTACTTTAAAAACCCAATATAAACTTTGTAAAAAATATAAAGTATAGTAAGTGTAGTGAAATTATTGGGGTCCTATACCGCTTCCAGAATTGCTGCTTACGGGCCTTGGCTTGTGCAAATGCAGACACTGAGGCCCCGTCCACACGAAGTCAAACCCTGGCCTAAACGCACAAATTTTTCACCAAACCAGCCTCTCATCCATACGAAGCCGGCGTTTCGGGGGTCTGTAAACGATCTTTTTTTAATTCAGCCTTCAGAGTGGGAAGATTTTGAAACGCCGTTTTCGCGTTTCCATCTTTAAGCTCTAACCGCATTTTTTTTTTTACACGCATGCGTCATAGCATCGCCTCTGAACACGCATGCGCGACACAGTATCACAACAACAATGGCGCCGTACTGTGTTGAATGGTTGCTGCTCATGCTACTCACCCTGCTGTCGGGCTTACAACAGAATCTTCTTCTTCTGGAATATCTCCAGGAAGAACAGAGCAATATCGACGACATAGTTCAGCACCTGAATTTGACTGAACTACGAAAATGGACCCGCAGGGCAACCATGTATAAATATTAGTGCGCATGCCCAACATTTCGTCGCCTATTTTTGCTTTGGCACCACAGCGCCACTTACAGGCCTGGCATACATTTTGCAGCGTTTTCATGCATTCGTGTGGATGATCACATTTATTTTATGTCTCCGTCTTTACGACAAACGTTCTGGAAAATATTAGCGTTTTGTGTTCGTTTTGACTTCGTGTGGACAGGGCCTAAGTCCTCCAGATCCAAAGACCTTTGCACGCTATACTCTATAGAAATAAGCGCCAGTCCTGAAAGTCTCTCTTGAGACATGGAAAATGAATCATTTTCCTTCAGCTTAGTTACATAATTGCTTTCCAATTTACTGAACGATAGGCCTACAACGTCACCCATTCGCTAGGCTACGTTCATTTTCATTAAGGGAAGTCATCCACCTGGGCTGGGCTGGGCTGGGCTGGATTTTGACTGGGCAAAGCCAATGTCAATCAACATTCTATCCAATCGGAATTTTTAAATGCAGTTGTGCATCTCCTCAGTCACTATAGCGTTGCCACTTCATGCTCGCCTGTTGCTGTTTATCTACCGGATGTACAGTAGCTGGCTCTCGGGGGCCCCCCAGCGGCTTGGGGCTCCAAGCAGTTGCTTGGTTTGCCTGTTGACAAGGTGCGCCTCTGGTCACATGTGCCTCACATGTACCCCTGTGGGCAGGCGTTTGAAAACCATGTGATCCACAATAGTTTTCCCTTTTTAAATTGGAATGAAAGAATGCCAATTATTTGATAAAAATCCACCCTTAATCAGATTATTTAGGCTATGATGTTTCTCCACTTGGGCCATACAATTGCTTTAATCACATTTAACTCATAAATGATGGAGATTAATTTATGTTTTTCTTCACTCATCCAGTTCTGTGCTATTCCCTCTGAGGGATGGGCACAACAGAGGCAACCCTACGAATGGAGAACATGGAAGTAAAAGATGAATGGCAGGATGAAGACTTCCCAAGGTCAGTTCCTTGTATTTTCTGTTTAGTATATAAAATAATTATATTATTCATCTGTCTTTATTTATAGATATGTATTA